GTCTTCGAGGGCTGATTTCATGGCCAATGACAAAAGCCTTCTGTTTCCACCGCCAAACCTTTAAGGCGAGAATTTGCAACAGTTTGGCACCATTTTTGAGTGAATTGGAATATTTAGATTTTGCTGAAATTGTGACCCTGGGGCTTATAAATTTTTCTCCACAGGTGTAGTTGTCGAGGGCTGATTTCTTGGCCTATGAAAAAAAGCCTTCTGTTTCCACCGCCAAACCTTTCAGGGGAGAATTTGCAACAGTTTGGCACCATTTTTGAGTGAATTGGAGAATTTCAGATTTTTGCTGAAATTGTGACACCGCGGCGTAGAAATTTTTTACTCACAGGTGAAGTTGTCGAGGGCTGATTTCTTGGCCTATGATAAAAGCCTTCTGTCTCCACCGCCAATCCTTTCAAGGGAGACATTTTTAACAGTTTGACACCATTTTTGAGCGAATTCGAGACCTTCAGAGTTTTGCTGAAATTGTGACCCCGGGACATAGAAATCTTTTCCTCAGAGGTTAAGTCTGTCGAGGGCTGATTTCTTGTCCTATGATAAAAAGCCTTCTGTTTCCACCGCCAAACCTTTCAGGGGAGCAATTTGCAACAGTTTGGCACCATTTTTGAGTAAATTATATAATCTTCAGATTTTTCCTGAAATTGTGACCCCAGGACATAGAAATTTCCCCAGATGATAAGTCTTCGAGGGCTGATTTCTTGGCCTATGACAAAAAGCCTTCTGTTTCCACCGCCAAACCTTTCAGGGGAGAATTTGCAACAGTTTGGCACCATTTTTGAGTGAATTATATAATTTCAGATTTTTCCTGAAATTGTGACCCCGGGGCTTAGAAATTTTTTTACCCACATGTCATGTCTTCGAGGGCTGATTTCTTGGCCTATGACAAAAAGCCTTCTGTTTCCACCGCCAAACCTTTCAGGGGAGAATTTGCAACAGTTTGGCACCATTTTTGAGTGAATTGGAGAATTTCGGATTTTTGCTGAAATTGTGACCCCCCGGTCTTAGAAATTTTTTTCCCCATAGGTTAATTCTTTTAGGACTTTCTTCTTGGCCTAAGAAAAAAAGCCTTCTGTTTCCACCGCCAAAGCTTTCAGGGATGAATTTGCAACAGTTTGGAACCGTTTTTGAGGAAATTGGAGAATTTCGGATTTTTGCTGAAAATGTGACTCCGGGGCTTAGAAATTTTTTTTTTCACAGTTGAAGTTGTCGAAGGATGATTTCTTGGCCTATGATAAAAAGCCTTTTGTTTCCACTGCCAAACCTTGAGGGGAAAATTTGCAACAGTTTGGCACCATTTTTGAGTGAATTGGAGAATTTCGGATTTTTCTGAAATTGTGACCGTGCAGCTTAGGGATTTTGTCAGGAAAATGTTTTTCCGCAGCTGAAGTAGTCTAGGGCGGATTTCTTGGCCTATGATCAAAAGCCTTCCGTTTCTACCGCCAAACCTTTCAGGAGAGAATTCCCAAAAGTTTTGTACAATATTTGAGTGAATTGGAGAATTTCAGATTTTTGATTAAATTGTCACCCTGGGGCTTAGAAATTTATTTCCCCACAGGTTAAGTTGTCGTGGGCTGATTTCTTTGCCTATGAAAAAAAGCCTTCTGTTTCCACCGCCAAACCTTTCAGGGGAGAATTTGCAACTGTTTGGCACCATTTTTGAGTGAAGTGGAAAACGGCTGATTTTTGATGAAATTGTGAGCAGCCGGCTTAGGGATTTTTTCAGAAAAATGTTTTTCCGCTGATTAAGTATTTGAGGGCAGTTTTCTTGGCCTATGATCAAAAGCTTTCCGTTTCCACCGCCAAACCTTTCAGGGGAGAATTTGCAACAGTTTGGCACCATTTTTGAGTGAATTGGAGAATTTCGGATTTTTGCTGAAATTGTGACCCCGGGGCTTAGGCATTTTTTCAGAAAAATGTTGTTCCGCAGGTGAAGTAGTTGAGGCCGAATTTCTCAGCATCGATAAACATTAACATTGCTTTACAACTCTTTCTTGCTTCTAACTTTTCCAAAATATCCACAACTTTTTAAATATCTTTCATATGTCTTCCAGGCAGAAATCCTGCCTGGTCTTTATGAATATACTCAGATAAAATCTTTTTTAGCCTATTATCCAGTAAATTTCAAAAAATTTTTAATCCACATTAAGTAGGGAGATTGGTCTGTAGTTTTTAATGTTGGATCTATCCTGACGCTGTTTAGGAATCAGAGTAATGTAAGCTTGTTTCCAGGTTTCAGGTGCTTTCCCACCCTGTAAAATTGAATTAGATATTTCTACCAGAGGTTATATAAGCCAATCTTTCAATGATCTTCTTTTTCTTTTTTATACAGTTGCTTATAATATTTATAAAAACATTTTCTAATGTCTGCAGGTTTCTCTACCGATTTTCCTTCTGTAACAATGTTTGTAATAGTACTTTGTTTTTGTCTCTTTTTTAATTGCCAGGCTAATAGTTTCCCACATTTATTTGCAGATTCAAAATTTCTTTGTCTCATCCTTCTTATCTTCCATTCAGTTTCTTGGTTTACTAACTGTGACTATTGAACCTGTAAGGCTTTAATTTCTTTTTGGATCTGCAAATTCTTTGGGTTTCTTCTAAGCTTCTTCTCTTTGTCTTTCAGTTGTTCCATAATTTTGTCTTTTGCCTCATTCTGTGACTTTCTCCTAATTGTGTTTTGTTGTATCAGAAACCCTCTCATTACCGCTTTGCTGGCTTCCCAAATCACCCTTATTTCCATTCCTTGAGTCATATTAAGTTCAAAATAACCCTTTAGGGTTTTTTGGGCCTTATTTACAATTGATGAATTTCTCAACAAATCGTCATTCATTCGCCATCTGAAGGAACCCTGAACAAACATTTTCAAGTCCATAGAAACTGCATTATGATCCCAGCAGGTTTTAGGGCAAATTTCCGTTTTTGCCACTTTAGGAACCAAGTCTGTGGATATCCATATATAGGCTATTCGCGAAAATACTTGGTTTGCCTCTGAAAAAAAGTGAAGTCTTTTTCCATTGGATTTCTAATTCTCCATGTATCTGACAGATCAAATTTTTCAGTTAGATCAAACAAAGTCTTCGGTAGTCTGCCAGAGTTCGTAACCTTTGATCTCTGAGTTCTGTCCATCAAGGTAGATGCAACTCCATTCAAATCCCCCATCAAAATAATGTTATAATCCAAGTATTCCGGCAGACTTGCTTCCAGGTTCTTAAAAAATTCCGCTTTGCCATCATTAGGTGCATAGATTCCTAATACCAAAAATTTCTCGCCTTGTGCTGAAATTTCAACTGCGATATATCTTCCTTCCTCATCTTTGAAAGCAAATTTTGGATTCCATTTATCTTTGATGTAGAAAACCACTCCTCTTTTTTTGACTTTGTCAGAAGAAATAAATTCTTGACCCAATCTTTTATTTATTAATTTTTTTGTGTGTAATCTTGTAATGTGGGTTTCCTGTAGACAAATTATGTCCAAATTTTGTTTCTCCAAAATATGATCAATTTTTTTCCCTTTTTTGTGGCAAGTTCATGCCATGAACATTCCATGAATAAATTCTCAACACCATATTGGCTATTTACGAGGAGGCTGCTTCCGCCCCCCGCAGCTGTGGAGTTTGCAATCCAAGTTCTACCGAGTGCTTCTGGATAAATCTATCCTTCTCCTGAAGATTCTTAATCTTTTGCTTTCTTCCTTCAAATTTGAAGGATAGGCCCTCTGGAAATTCCCACCTGAAAAAAATGTTCTTTCTCCTCAGAATATCTGTCAAATCCTTGTACTGGGATCTCAAATTCAAAAAAAACCTAGGAATTTCCTTGAAAAGAACCACCACTTTATCAAACACTTTGAGGCCTTTTTTATAGTGATGTCCCAAAATGATATCTCTTTGTTCCTTGGTCTTAAAGACCACAATACAGTCGTAAGTTATTTTAGTCTCTTTTTTAGGTCCAAATCTATAGGCTTTCTCCACCCAGTCTTCCCTCTCCTCTTTTTTAGATCCCAGAATTCAACAAAATATTTTATCACACATTCTCTGAGTTTATCTTGATCCTGTTCCAGATTACGAAATCCTCTCAATCTCAGATGAGATTGTTTCTGTGCCAGCTGTAAATAAGCTATAGCTGTTGCATTTTCCTGTTGCAAGCGTTCCAAGTCCTGGACCTGAACATTCTCCAATTGTGTCCATCTTTCATCATGTGTATTAATTTGCTCTTTGACAACTCGCAGGTCAGTGCTCAACTGGTCAAACCTTTCTTCCAATTTATTTACCACGCCTGTATTGCGGTCCAGTCCTTCTTTAATATCATTTAACGCTGACAATACCGACTCCTCGAATTGCGTCGGTGCTTTAGAGCCACGTCTAGGCTTTTCTTTTTCTGAAGTCATAACTGAGGAATGTCAAGGTCAATCACACAGTCTGCCAGAACAATGGAGGAAAAACAGTTTCTCCTTTCCACCAGCCAAATCGAAAGCAGCTTCCTTAGTCTTTAAAACTGCTTCAGTCACAACAAAAAATATGGCAGAGAGAAGTTTATCCAAAGCTCTCTTTCTTGAGAGGAAGTAAGACAGTTTTTATCACTTTAGAACGTTACTAGTCAATGCAGGACAATTTATAGGCTATTCAGTCGAGGTGGAGATTAAGTTTATTCACTTTCCTTATAAAATCACCATGGAGACTAGCCTTTCCTCTCGGCTGGTCCGCTGCCAAGAGAGGATATCTCAGTCTAATTAGGCAAGTTTCCAATTGTAATAAATCATTCACATACCCCTATGTTCCCAAAGAAAGGAAAAGGAAAATATCGCTTCCAGTTTTAAAAGTTTTCTTTACTTTTAGGCTTCAGTCTTTGCACGCCGATTCATATTTTTGTTCAACAGAAGGGGAGCCACCTCCTTTTCCAATGTCTCCCTTATCTTCCCAGATAGCTCTAAGAATGATTTAGGAGTACTTACAGTTCCAAATTGCTTATTCTTTTTTTATGGAGGAATTGATCACTGCTGGTTGCCAGTTCTCAGAGCTTCGCAGCTTTGAAGAGAGCAGTCGTTTCCGCTGAGCCGCATCTCACCCCACTCACTCTCGGTGCCCTTAAATCTTACCGGGGACTGGAGGAGTCGCAGATAAGGCTTGCCGGATAAACCAAGTCCTCAGAATGCCCGATCTGAGATTTTAATGGAGAACTGTGTCGCTCTTACAGTCTCTCCCTTCTTCAAAGTGCTGGAATTCTTTCAGCCGAAAGACTCCATGACTGCCATACCACGTGACCAACCAGAAAGTCCTGGTTCCGACTGGTTTGGACCAGTTCCAACTGGTCTAGACCAGCTGAAACCGGCTTCAACCAGCTTGGACCGGTTCAAACTGGCTTGGACAGGTTCCAACCAGCTTGGACCGGTTCAGACCATCTGGACCTGTTCCCTCCGACTTGGACAAGTTCAAACCAGTCTGAACCAGTTCAAACCAGTTGAGACTGGTTCAAACCAGCTGTGACAGGTTCCAACCAACTTGACTGGTTCCCACCAGACTAGACCGGTTCCAACCAGCTTGGACCGGTTCAAACCGGCTTAAACCGGTTCCAAGCACTCTAAACCGGTTCCAACTGGTCTAAACCCGTTCCAACCAGCTTGGACTGGTTCCAACCGATCTGAACCGGTTCCAACTGGTCCAGACCAACTGAAACTGGCTTCAACCGGTTGAAACCAGCCTGGACCATCCGGTCTAGATCAGTTCCAACCAGCTTGGACCAGTTCAAAGTGGCTTCAACCAGTTCCAACCGGTCTGAACCGGTTCCAACCGGTCTAGAGTGGTTCGAACTAGTTTGGACCGGTTCCAACCAGTCTAGACTGGTTCCAACCACCTTGGACCAGTTCAAACCGGCTTCAACGGGTTCCAACTGGACTGAACCGGTTCCAACTGGTCTAGAGCGGTTCCAACCAGCTTGGACCGGTTCCAACTGGTCTAGACCGGTTCCAACCTGCTAGGTTAGGTTCAAACCGGCTTTAACCGGACCAGACCTGTTTGGACCAGATTCAACCGGTCTAGACCGGTTCAAACCAGCTTGGACTGGTTCAAACCGGCTTCAACCGGTTCAAACCAGTCTTAACCGGTTCTAACTGGTCTAAACATCGTTCCAACCAGCTTGGACTGGTTCCACCGGTCTAGAGCAGTTCCAACCAGCTTGGACCGGTTCCAGCCGGTCTGAACCGGTTCCAACTAGTCCCGACTGACTGAAACTGGCTTCAACCGGTTGAAACCGGCCTGGACCGGTTCCATCCGGTCTTGTGACGTTCCAACCAGCTTGGACCGGTTTAAACTGGCTTCAACCGGTTCCAACCGGTCTGAACCGGTTGCAACTGGTCTAGACCAGTTCCAACCAACTTGGACCAGTTCAAACCGGTCTGAACCGGATCCAACCGGTCTAGAGGGGTTCCAACTGGTCTGAACCGGTTCCAACTGGTCTAGACAGGTTCCAACCAGCTTGGACCAGTTCCAACCATTCTAGATCGGATCCAACTGGCTTGGACAGGTTCCAACCGGTCTAGACCAGATTCAACCAGTCAGGACCGGTTCCCACCGGTCTAGACTCATTCCAACCAGCTTCGAATGGTTCTCACCGGTCTAGACTGTTTCCAACCAGCTTGGAATGGTTCAGACTGGCTTTGACCTGTTCCAACCGGTCTAGAGCGGTTCCAACCAGCTTGGACCGGTTCTAACCGGTCTAGACCGGTTCAAACCAGCTTGCACCGGTTCCAACTGGTCTAGACCAGATTCAAACGGTCTAGACCCCTTCCAACCAGCTTGGAGCAGTTCCAAGCGGTCTAGACTGGTTCCAACCAGGTTGGACTGGTTCAAACTGGCTTCAACCGGTTCCAACTGGTCTAGACCGGTTCCAACCTGCTTGGACAGATTCAAACTGGCTTCAACCGGTTCTGACCAGTTTGGACCAGTTCCAACCGGTCTAAACCAGCTGAAACCGGCTTCAACAGGTTCAAACAGGTCTGGACCGGTTCAAACCAGCTTGGACCAGTTCCAACCAGTGTAGTCCAGCTGAAACCGGCTTCAACCGGCTTTGACCGGTACAAACCGGCTGGGACTGGTTCAAACCAGCTGTGACAGGTTCCAACCAGCTTGGACTGGTTCCAACCGATCTGAACCGGTTCCAACTGGTCCAGACCAACTGAAACTGGCTTCAACCGGTTGAAACCAGCCTGGACCATCCGGTCTAGATCGGTTCCAACCAGCTTGGACCAGTTCAAAGTGGCTTCAACCAGTTCCAACCGGTCTGAACCGGTTCCAACCGGTCTGACAGGTTCCAACCAACTTGACTGGTTCCAACCGGTCTAGACCGGTTCCAACCTGCTTGGACAGGTTCAAACTGGCTTCAGCTGGTTCCAACCGGTTTGGACCAGTTCCAACCGGTTTGGACCAGTTCCAACCGGTCTAGACCAGCTGAAACTGGCTTCAACCGGTTCCAACCAGCTTGGACCAGATCCAACCGGTGTAGTCCGGCTGAAACCGGCTTCAACCAGCTTGGAACGGTTCAAACCGGCTTGGACAGGTTCCATCCAGCTTGACTGGTTCCAACCGGTCTAGACAGGTTCCAAACAGCTTGAACCATTTTAAACCGGCTTCAACCGGGTCAAACTGGTCTGAACCGGTTCCCACCGGTCTGAACTCGTTTCAATCGGTCTAGACCGGTTCCAACCAGCTTGGACCGTTTTAAACCGGCTTCAACCGGTTCCAACCGGTCTGAACCGGTTCCAACTGGTCTAGAACGATTTCAACCAGCTTGGACCGGTTCCAACCGGCTTCAACCGGTTCCAACCGGTCTGAACAGGTTTCAACTGGTCTAGACTGGTTCCAACCAGCTTGGACCGATTCAAACCGGTCTGGACCGGTTTAAAACGGCTTCAACCGGTTCCAACCGGTCTAGACCGATTCCAACCAGCTTAGACTGGTTCAAACCGGCTTCAACTGGTTCAAACCGGTCTGAACAGGTTCCAACCGGTCTGAACCGGTTCCAACCTGCTTGGACAGATTCAAACTGGCTTCAGCCGGTTCCGACCGGTTTGGGCCAGTTCCAACCTGCTTGGACCAGTTCCAACTGGTTTAGACCAGTTCCAACCGGTCTAGGCCAGCTGAAACTGGCTTCAACCGGTTCCCACCAGCTTGGACCAGTTCCAACCAGTGTAGTCCGGCTGAAACCAGCTTCAACCAGCTTGGACCGGTTCAAACTGGCTTGGACAGGTTCCAACCAGCTTGGACCAGTTCCAACCGGTCTAGACCAGCTGAAACTGGCTTCAACCAGTTCAAACCGGTCTAAACCGGCTCCAACTGGTCTAGACCGAATTCAACCAGCTTGGACCGGTTCAAACTGGCTTGGACAGGTTCCAACCAGCTTGGACCGGTTCAGACCATCTGGACCTGTTCCCTCTGACTTGGACAAGTTCAAACCAGTGTGAAGCAGTTCAAACCGGCTGAGACTGGTTCAAACCAGCTGTGACAGGTTCCAACCAGCTTGACTGGTTCCAACCGGTCTAGACCAACAAGCTTGGACCGGTTCCAACCGGTCTAGGCGGGTTCCAACCTGCTTGGACAGGTTCCAACCGGCTTTAACCGGACCAGACCTGTTTGGACCAGATTCAACAGGTCTAGACCGGTTCCAACCAGCTTGTACCTGTTCAAACCGGCTTCAACCGGTTCCAACTGGTTTGGACCAGTTCCAACCGGTCTAGACCAGCTGAAACCGGCTTCAACCAGTTCAAACCGGTCTAAACCAGTTCCAACTGGTCTAGACCGAATTCAACCAGATTGGACCGGTTCAAACCGGCTTGGACAGGTTCCAACCAGCTTGGACCAGTTCAGACCATCTGGACCTGTTCCCTCCGACTTGGACAAGTTCAAACCAGTCTGAAGCAGTTCAAACCGGCTGAGACTGGTTCAAACCAGCTGTGACAGTTCCCAACCAGCTTGGCTGGTTCCAACCAGTCTAGACGGGTTCCAACCTGCTTGGACAGGTTCAAACCGGCTTTAACCGGACCAGACCTGTTTGGACCAGATTCAACAGTCTAGACCAGTTCCAACCAGCTTATACCAGTTCAAACCGGCTTCAACCGGTTCCAACTGGTTTGGACCAGTTCCAACCGGTCTAGACCAGCTGAAACCGGCTTCAACCGGTTCAAACCGCTCTAAACCTGTTCCAACTGGTCTAGACCGAATTCAACCAGCTTGGACCGGTTCAAACTGGCTTCAACCGGTTCCAACTGGTCTGAACCGGTTCCAACTGGTCTAGACCTATTCCAACCAGCTTGGACTGGTTCCAACCGGTCTGGACCGGTTCCAACCAGCTTGGACAGTTTTAAACTGGTGACATGTTGGAACTGGTCCCAGCCAGTTGGAACCGGTTCAAACTGGTTGGAACTGGCCCAAGCCGGTTTCAACTGGTTCAGACCGGTTGGAACTGGCCCGAGCCGGTTGGAAGCAGTTCAGACCGGTTGGAACCGGTTCAGACCGGTTGAAACCGGTTGAGGCCAGTTGTATCCGGTCAAGATGGGTTGTATCCGGCCATTACTGGTTGGAACTGGTTCAGGCCGGTTGGAACTGGTTTAGACCGGTTGGAACCGGTTCAGACCTTTTGGAACTGGCCCGAGCCAGTTGGAAGCAGTTCAGACCGGTTGGAACTGGTCCAAGCCGGTTCTAACTGGTTCAGACCGATTGAAACCAGTTTAGACCGATTGAATCCGGTCAAGACCGGTTGGAACTGGTTCAGACCGTTTTAAACTGGTTTAGGCCAGTTGTATCCGGTCAAGACGGGTTGTATCCGGCCATGACCGGTTGGAACCGGTTCAGACCGGTTGGAACCGGTTCAGACCGGTTGGAACTGGTCTGAGTCGTTTTGAACCGGCCCAGATTGGTTGGAACTGGTCCGAGTCAGTTGGAACCAGTTCAGACTGGTTGGAACTGGTCCTTGCCGGTTTGAACCAGTTCAGACTGGTTGGAACCGGTTCAGACATGTTGGAACTGGTCCCAGCCAGTTGGAACCGGTTCAAACTGTTTGGAACTGGCCCGAGCCGGTTTCAACAGGTTCAGACCGGATGGAGCTGGTCCAAGCTGGTTGGAACTGGTTCAGACCGATTGAAACCGGTTTAGACTGATTGAAACTGGTCGGAGCCGGTTGGAACCAGTTCAGACCGGTTGGAACCGGTTCAGACCGGTTTAAACTGGTTTAGGCCAGTTGTATCCTAGCCGGCTTGAAACGGTTCAGACCGGTTGAATCCAGCCAAAACCGGTTGGAACTGGTTCAGACCGGTTGCAACTGGTTCAAGCTGGTTGAAACCGCCCCGGACTGGTTGGAACCAGTTCAGACCAGTTGTAACTGGTCCGAGCCGGTTGGAACCAGTTTAGACCGGATGGAGCTGGTCCGAGCTGGTTGGAACTGGTTCAGAACGATTGAAACTGGTTCAGACCGATTGAAACTGTGAGGAGAACCT